CTGGCCACAGAGAATAAATGCCAGTGTCAAGACAAAGGGGGACATTTTGGGTAATTTCTTATTTTTTTTACTCTCTATAAATATACATTTTATTTTCTAATGAAGTTTTTGAAAAAATTAATTTTTCTGTTGAAATCTGTATATATTTCCTTGTAACAATAATTATCACAGAACTATATGGCAATATGGCACACTGCCTGATATGCAGCAGCACCATCGCTAGAGAAGAGAAAAATATTTTATGTTGTACTAAATGTAAACTATTATTTCACAGTAGGTGCGTTAAACTCAGTGATAAAGAGTTTGAGGCTCAAATAAAGTATGAATTTGTTCTAGTTGAGATCAGCCTAAAAAGATTCAATCAGACAGTGAAAACCCTGATCAAAGTCGCAAGACTGAGCCAACACCATCAGAAATTTTGGCAGCAGTAAAGCGGCTTGATAATTATTTTAATAAGGAATTAAAAAATATTAAATTAGCTCAAGACTGTACGGAGACCTGAGCTTCGAAATAAATACTAGCCTATCTAAAATTGAAAACCACTTAGCGGGGCAATCTAAACATCTTGAAGAAATAATTTCAGAAAATAAAGCCCTCAAGTCTAGAGTGGGTGAACTGGAGGTCAGGCTGAATAAAGCCGAACAAAGCCAGCTTAGTAGATCGCTCAAGATCCGGGGCATCCCAGTTCGAGCAGGTGAGACCCCCACGGCCCTGATTACTAGTATTGGGGCCAGCCTAGGCATCAAACTTGACGTTGAAGAGATAGACACTGAAAAGACGACCTGCGACCACTGCCTATCATAGCAAAATTCGTCAGACAGTCAGTGAGGGATTACCTGGTGCAGAAGCAAAAGTAAAAAGGGACTTTTTGATGTGGGAAATCGATTGGCAGGAAAATGACTGCCACCATATCTATCTCGGCAAGGAGATGACCCCAACAAACATGCACCTATACTGGCTCGCCCAACAAAAGAAAGCAGTAGGGAAAATAAAATATATATGGTTCTCCGGTGGCAGACTGCGGTGCCAAAAGGATGATGGTTATCAGGTCGTCTTTATTGACCAGAGTCAAGACCTAGATGTCTTCGATATCTGTTTACTTCTCAATATCTATAAAAAATTTGGTATAGTTTACAGGACTTACATCGAAAATCTAGATTGTATGTTATGTTACTATTGCAACTTTTTAATTTATTTATTTCCATTAATTATTACTTTCAAATGTTTTTTTCTTTTTAATCTGTTTTTTCTTATATTTCAATTTTTACTTTGTTTCATTTACTGTACCATATCTGGTCCAGTGTCTACCCATCAAATTCTGACTTTACTTTCTTGAATCCTAATCATGTCTAGCATCCTTACTATGGGTCATGTGAACTCCCAATCCCTCCCAGCCCATTACGATGAATTCCTAGAATACTTTACCCAAAATTTTTACTATATCATTGCAATTTCCGAAACCTGGCTCAAGTCTTACATCCCTTCCACATCTGTTTCTCTTCCTAACTACACAGTAATCCGCCACGATAGGACTAGCCGGACTGCCGGAGGTGTAGCTTTGTATGTTCATGAAGGCCTAAAGACCCGAATACACCACTGCTCTCCTCCATCCGATCACCCACACATTGAGTTCCTGATCATATTGAGATGAAATTTCCTGTGATACATCTCCTATCCTTTATATCGTTGTATATAGACCTCCTCTTGTTCCCTTTTATCAGTCATTTGAATCATCCCTCTACAACTTTCTTCCTCTTTTATACAAAATAATCATTTCCGTTGATCTAAACACTAATTTACTTTCTGATTCCAGTGTTCAAACATAACTTGAAAACCTTTTTTTCTCTCTTCATCGTCCCTTTTTCTTCCGTTCATCACACCTCCAGGTCCAATACCTGGTTGGAACATTATATTATTGACTCCTCTCAGAACCTCTTTTCCTCCTCCCAAGTACCAGTCTCCTTTTTATCCTCTCATGGCCTAATCAAAATTTCATATAATAGCCATACTCCTCCGATCCTACCTAGAACCATAACTTTCCATAACATTGATGCCCTCACTAGGGAACCCTAGATTGGAATGGAATATATTCCTGTTCCTCTATTGCCTCCATTTTCACCTCCAACCTCCTTAATATCCTTGATGCCCATGCTCCCATCAAAACCTCTACCTTTTGTTGCCCCCCGGCTCCCTGGACGTGTCAGCAAATTAAAGATCTTCAGAAGATAAGTGATGCTGTCAGCAGATGCTTTAGAAGTGCTAGGCTCGCTGACGCCAACAAAGTGTTTAGGGTGCTTCGTAAGCTGACACATACCAGAAACCGACAAGCAAAATCCACCTATTTCCATGAAGCCCTTTCATCAGCTCCTGATTCCAAATCCAAATGTCTACTCCTTAATAAAGTCTCCCTCTATGAATCTTCCAGATGACTGTTCCCATCACCTATATGTCGATGATTCCCAAATTTACCTTTCCTTCACTTCCTCTGATTGGCATGATGTGTTCGCCAAAATACAAGAACACCTAAATCGGATCTGTGCCTGGGCAAATGTAAATGGATTAAGGTTAAACACTGCTAAAACCCAAGCAATGATCATTGGTTCGAAACCCTTTCACTGATCCAAACCAACATTCCTCTTCTGTACATAAATGACTATCCTATCACCTTCAGCTCTTCAGTTAAAAACTTAGGTATTTTTATAGATCAAGTCCTCTCCTGGAATCAGCGTATTTCCCACACATCCTGACGTTCAATTTCTACCCCCAAACTCTTCCATCGCTTCCGCCATTTCTTACCCACGTCCACGCGTAGACTCCTAGTATCTGCTCTCATCTTCCCCCACCTTGACTACGGCTACATAGTGTACGGTGGTCTCTCAATAGAACTCGGAGACAGACAGAAAAGAATCATGAATGGCTTAGTAAGATTTGTCAATGGAACCCTGAAGTTCTCATGTTTCCCAATACTAAGCTGAGTTAGGGTGGCTCTTCTCCTCATCCAGAAGACAATATTTCCTAGGCACATTCCTTAACCAAATAATCTATAATCATCGTCGATCCTACGCATACAATCTCCTTCAATTCATGTAATCTATCTACTCCCTCTCCACAAGATCTCGTCATTCTGACCTTCATATCCCTTTCCACAAATCTGCCTCATTTCAACACTCCTTTATTGTCCGTTCCACCACTTTTTGAAATTCCACCCCACTTAAAATCCACCATGCACCATCCTTATCCATATTTAAAACCCACTTATTCCATTTCCTCCTTAAAATCCAATCAGACACTGGGTAGTTATTTATTATGTAACAAGGTTTCATTTTTCTCTATACATCATTTAAATATATATTTCTATTATGAGTATGGAAAACATTTCCAGTCCCTTTTCACTGAGAATTGTTTTTTTTCTATTTATAGGATTTTAAGTCTTTGAGATGTATATAATTTTTTACTAATATTGAACGCACTCCTCTATATGTAAATTATCTTTTTTTTTTATTTTCTCCTATCAAACTACATCTTAGTATATAGAATATATAAGACTTTTCTAATATTTACAATACCATTATAAGTACTAATTTGAACATATTAAGGTACAGATGTTAATCATTTATTGTAAATATGTATCTACTTTTTAATTATTATTTTTTTTCATTACTACAACAGTTTGACAATAAAAGTAATTTATCGTTATTTTCCTATTACATTTAGTTATTTCTTAATTTATTTTTTGTAGCAACTATTTTACAGTATTGTGACCTTATTGTTCATCTTTGTTTCTTTATCTATGTATGTATCTATGCATTTATATCTCTATAACTATGTAAATACTTCTCTTGTTACATATGTTTTAGTTATTCTTTTATTGTAATATGTATTTTGGCCAGATTTAATGTTAATTTTTATGATCAATATTGTTATTCTTAAGGGACTTTGTTCCAGAATAAAGTTGATTCTTCTATTCAATATATATATTATAAATTTTCCTCCTTTTTTTTTATCAAGTAACATAACTTTATGAACACAGACTAAAAGATATGAATAGATTAAATATTAAAATTGAATAAATAAAGTATAATAAATATTGATGTAGAGATGGTTGACCGTTGATATAATATGAGAAGGAGCTAGTCGGGGGTGCGGTCAAATAAATACTAAATTAAAATATAGTAATTATTTTATTTTAATTTTGCCGACGTTTCAACTGTTCTCAGTGTTTCAGCTGCCTCCCGCAGTGCTACATCCTATGCCCTGAAGACGACCTGCAAAGTGGGTCGAAACGTCGGCAAAATTAAAATAAAATAATTACTATATTTTAATTTAGTATTTATTTGACCGCACCCCCGACTAGCTCCTTCTTATAATAAATATCCTTAATTAACTGTTAATTACCATATATGTGGTAATGGGTGATTCCAAGGGAGTCCGGAATAATGTTCTTGGCTAGCAATGCAACCTCCCCAACATTAACAACTAGTTCCTCGAGGAAGCTCCTAGTTCTAAGGAGCTTACATAAAATATAATAGGCCTTTTCAGATAAGAAAATAAACATGATTGGGGGTTAAACATGGTATAAAAATGGATCTTTGGGGTCAAAGTTGACATCCTAATAAAATAATCATATTTCCTTTCAGTGGGTTAATAACTTCAAATATGAACTCGTCAATAACATTCACTACAGATATCAAGCATCCCTCCGTAGATTGAAGTTGATCAATTGTGTTGACAGACAAAAGTCCAGCCTTGAGGAATCACTGTAGCCAAATAAAATACATAGTAATTCAGTATCAATATATGAGTAGGAGAGAGAAACACTTTATTTTCATAAAAATATAAAATATAAAAGATTGCTGCCCAATTATATTGGGTTGTTATATACACAGCATAGTCGTTAATCCTTAGGACAATAAATGAACTTATATTCAAATATACAGAAGTGGTTAGTTTATATTAGTAAAATTGATATATAAATACTTTTTTTTTTTATAATATAATACCTTATCAAGGCTTCTGTCATTTTTTCTTCTACATATGTTCGATTTTGTACATTAACATCATCTACTTCACTGCAACTGTAAGGAATATGGCTTTCTTTTCGGCAAAACCTGTAAAATATTAAAATATTCATGATGATGACAACTTCTCTGTCTCAAAGTGTTTTCTTAACCAGTAATAACTATTTATATTACAAAATAGAGGTTCTACAATAAATTTAATTGTTCTAAAGGGGCTTGATCTGAAATGTGGTTCACTTAATAAAGACAATAAGAGCATTCCATCAGGAAGGGAAAGATTTCGCGACTATTGTAGTTGGGTTTTTTAAATTAAAATATTTTTTTATTTTAACCTTTTATTTTTCAAGTATTGATAATTTATATTTACCACCTATAATAAAGGTTTTACTCATGATATGATATGAAAGCAATACAAATTGGAGAATACTTAAAATACTTTTTCAGTATTTTGAGCTCACATTGTTTTAAAAGATTTATGAAATCTAACTGAATCATTTGAAACATCCAACTTAAAAATCAGTCGAATCATACGCTTTGATTTTTTGGAACAAAATTTTTTTTTTGTTATCTATTTAATGAAATTTACAACTACATACAAATAAAACAAGTAAATATGCACAAATTATAAATAATGACATAAATAGGCTTGAAGAGATACTACGCAGTGGTTGCACTCCCTAAATAATTCTAGGTAAGGAGATCATGAGGCCATCTCCTTTTCAGACACCGAGGAGGATTATCAGGAATCAAGGAAGAAGCAAGGATGGAAACAAGGGGATTTGGATGGGACTGGAGTTTATCATAAAAGGATAGATATCTGGCTCGGGCTAAATCAGCGACATATGGTACATTAAAGTCTTTATGAATGGTTTTATTTGTAATAAAGTATGGAGCATTAAGGATTTTACGGAGGATTTTGGATTGTAAGGATTGGATACGATAGGAATTCGATGGTTTGGTGGAGCCCAAAAGCTCAACTCCGTATGTCCATATAGGTCTTATTATAGTTATGTAGATAAGTCTTTTGTAATTAATTGAAAGTTTAGAGCGTTTGTCTAGCAAGTGCTTGAGTAGTCGGACATGTTGAGCAGTTTCTAGTCGTTTCAGTCTAGTATGAGGATTCCAAGTAAGACGTTTATCCAAGTGGAGTCCTAAGTAGCTGATTTGCACAACAGGAATAAGTGGAGTATTATTGAAGGATACTGTAGGGCAAGAAGTCATCAGTTTATGACGGAGAGTAAAGGTGATTTGATGGGATTTATTGGAATTTATTTTTATTCTCCAATTTTTAGACCATTCTTCAAGGCTTGTGATATGTGATTGAAGAGTTTGGGATGCAATTAAAGGGTTATTATTAACAGATAGCAAACATGTGTCATCGGCGTAAGTGGTGATGACAGTGTCAGGATGGGCTGGGATGTCAGCTGTATAAACTGTGTAGAGGATGGAATCAAGGTTACTACCTCATAGAACGCCTGCAGATTGAGAAAAGCAGACATTATTTTGGTTTACTTTGAAATATCTATCAGTAAGATAGGAACGGATAATGAGGAAGTATACCTGGGGGTGGAAGTGAATTCTGAAAATAAAATTGCTGCTGAGGTGTACAAGAGGATCATGGCTGGAACACGGGCGTACTATGCCAACCTAAAATTTTTTCGATCATCGCTTCTGTCACGAGAAACAAAGATAAGACTATATAAGACTTTAGTAAGACCTATTGTGACTTATGCAGCGGAGACATGGACCCTTTGTACTAGCACAATTAGTGTGCTGAATATTTTTGAAAGAAAAATATTGAGAAGAATTTATGGAGCTGTTTGTGAAGAGGGTGTGTGGAGGTATAGAAAAAATGCAGAGCTATATGAATTATATAATAGCGCCAACATTGTTAATTTCCTTAAAACTAGGCGTATGGAATGGTTACCGAATATGGAAGGAATATGAGGAAGGATACCGATGCAAGGCAAATTGCTGACTGAGCTGAGCTCCGCTACGGTTGCCGACTCCCTCTTGCTACGCTCAGCTCAGCTGCGCTTTTGTTGGCCGGTCAGCCTAATTCTGGTGCTGCTTTGCTTAGTTGGTTAACTATGACTAAAACCACCAATAATACGGAATAAGTGATCTGTAATAACTTGTAATACATATAACTAAATAAGTAAAAATAATTAATTTCAAGATAAGAAAAATAATGATAATGACTCAGACCCATACCCCAAACAATATTTTTCAGTAACATATATTAGAGGTTTAACCAATTAAATAGAAAACACATTTAACAAGTACGATCTAAATGAAATAAAATATGGAATAAAAACAATTAATAAATTAGAAAAACATGCACAATAAAACTAAACATAGTATTCCAAAAAAAAATTGACTAATGTAATATATAAAATAGAATGTGAAGACTTATTAAAACAAAGCATACTATGGAAACACTTCCCAACGGTTTGAACATAGGTTATAACAGCACAAACAAAATTGGAAATCAAAAACTACGAAATCAAAACTAGTGACAGGACTACAACACACCACAAATAATGGCTATAGCTTTAATTCCAATAAGGCATCAATTCTGCAGAAAGAACAAAATAAAAAAACAGAATTATAGAATCGATTTTCATATCAAAAACATAAAACAATCAGCCAATCAACAAACTGATGTGGACAAATTAAATACATTTTATGTTAGTGCAATAGGAAAAATTAAAATAAAAAGCCTAAGGATTTATATTACATACATTTTTGGATAAGATGTGTGCAGTATTTGTATGTATGAATGTTATAATTCTTATATATGAAGTACATATGTGCATAAGTGTGTGAATGTGGTTATATAAAAAAAAATATGATGGCTCCAATAGAAATAGATAAAACAATTTATTATAACCGCTCTATCCCCACTCCTAAATAAAAATATTAATCCAGTCTTAAGTGAATGGAGACAAGTAATACCAGACTTGATGTCTTCCACAAACCAGTTACATAGTTATGATCAAAATTGCTTGGAATAAGAAATGTATCACTTGAAGGATTTGTATAAATCTAAATTTATTATATTATATACTGAACTAAAATATAATAATGATATAGGATTAATGCATTGTATATACAAAAAGTTAAAAATTGATGTGTTAAAGTTGAAATATTTTAAGTATAGATGAGGTTTTTGCTTACTTAAGGTTAATAATTGTAAAAAATTATAATATTTTTTACTGATACCTGAAAATGGCTCAAGAAGCCGAAACGTTCACAATAAAAGAAATATAATAACAATTTATTTTATTGGTGACCTTTGGCCTATAATCAATTAAATAAAAAATCATAAAATGGCACCAAATGTAAAAAAAAATATGGCCAGAAAATCAAATAACCAACAGAAATGTACTATAGATTACACTTCATAGATTCTTACATTTTTCAGACAATTTTGATAAATCACAATTAATTTTAGCAATTTATTAATTATTTTTATTATTTTTAATTCATTATTCTTACTGGAGACCTGGTAATTTACACTAATAAAACACTGCTATTCAATTAAAAATATACAGAAAATAAGCACATAGATATTAATAAATAATTTCCCCACAATTTAAGCTGAAAACTGATAAATATTCACAACTAACTTTCTTCACAAAGAATCTTCCATGAAAAAAACTAAATTCACTGACAAACTCTTGTCTCAACAGATACACTACCTACTTAACAACTATGAACTAACCATTTATGAAATAGTTTCTTACATATAGCATTTCCAAGTCAATTTCAACCTTTTCCAAGTCAAATTCAACCTTTTCCAAATCAAATTAAACTTTTTCCAAGTCAAATTCAACCTTTTCCATTTCAAATTAAACGTTTTCCATTTCAAATTCAACCTTTTTTTTATTTATTTAATTATCTTTAATTTTTCGATGTGTGGGTCTGTTATCGTATGAGTAGTTTTTGAAAATAACCTCCTTTTTAAGATTACGTGACTGAGTTTCGAATTATTTAAGTTTTTTTGAATTATTCGATATAAGGGTGTATTTTTATGTTTCCCGATCAGTAAATTTTGAAAATGACATCCATTTTATGTTTACGCCACTGTGTTTTGATTTATTTAAGTTTTTAGAATTTATCCAATATAAAGGGGGGAATGCTTGTTATTTTTCTGTGACAAAACTACTCAGTTCGCGCCTCTTGTCCCGAAACTTAAAAATTAGAATCTATAAAACAATTATTTTGCCTACAGTTCTTTATGGATGCGAAACTTGGCCGCTTACATTAAGGGATGAGCAGCGTCTTAAGGTTTTTGAAAATAAAGTATTGCGTAGAATATTCGGACCGAAGAAGGATGAGTTAACCGGAGAGTTCAGACGGATACACAACGCCGAATTGCGTGAGCTGTATCCGGGTAATATAATTGAGGTAATTTCATTGCGGCGAATCAAATGGGCTTGTAAAGTTGTTGGGCTTAGTAACGAGAGAATTCCTAAAAGGTTAATATTTGCTGTGCCGAATGGTAAGCGTCCGAGGGGTAGACCGAAGCGAAGGTGGGAAGATTGTATTAAAGCCGATCTGAAGGGACTGGGTTTGGACGGCGAACGGTGGAGGGAGGTGTGTAACAAGCGATTGGTGGTGTCGGCATCGAACCTTCGGGTTCGCTAAGCCTTATTATTATTATTATCCAATATAAAGGTCTACTTTTATATTTCTGGAGCCGTAGATTTTGAAAACGACCTCTATTTTAAGATTAGGCCACCGCGTTTCGACTTATTTGAGTTTTTCGGATTTTTTTCATATGAGGGTGTATTCTTATGTTTCCGGAGCCGTAGATTTTGAAAACGACCTCTATTTTAAGATTAGGCCACCGCGTTTCGATTTCTTTGAGTTTTTCGGATTTTTTTCATATGAGGATGTATTCTTATGTTTCCGGAGCCGTAGATTTTGAAAACGACCACCATTTTAAGATTAGGCGACCGCATTTTGATTTCTTTAAGTGTTTCGAATTTTTATCACAAAAAAGTCTATTCTTATGTTTCCGGAGTCGTAGATTTTGAAAATGACCTCCATTTTAAGATTACGCCACTGCGTTTCGGTTTATT